CAAAGTTCTGAAGTGGGAATCAGTCATGAAGGTGGTGGTGTCATGCATAAACTTCATCAGAGCAAACAGACTTAAACACTGGCAGTTCCAAGCCTTTCTCAAGAGTCTGCTCACGGAAATGTGCTTTACCACACTGAAGTCCGATGGTTAAGCCGGGGCAGAGTTTTGAGGCGTTTTTATGAGCTGCTACCCGAAATCACCCCCTTTCTTCTGACAAAGGTAAAAACTGTCACAGAACTGATCGATGCAGAATGGAAATGGGACCTCGCCTTTTTAACAGATGTGACAGAAATGTTGAACGGCCTCAACTTGCAGCTCCAAAGCAAGGGTAAACTAATATGTGACATGTATTCCCACATAAAAGCATTAGAGGTGAAACTAGCACTGCTTGTGGGACAAGTGCAAAAGCAAGACTTCACTCATCTCCCCGTTACCCAAAGTCTCTCAGCTGAGAAACCAGTGGCTCCATTCCCAGCTGAAAAGTCCGTGGAAGCGCTGGAAATGCTGAAGGCGGAGTTTTTCCGTGAGAAATCCAGCTTTTCTTTCCTGCCGGCATTGATGAAGCCCTGCCTTCTTATCAGTTTGACTTGGCTGAGTTACAGAACTGTGATGTTCTGAAAGACGCATTTAAGCCCAACGGTCTCCTTGAATTCTATGCTGCCCTCCCTATCGAGACATACCCAAATATCAAAAGGCATGCAATGAAGCTGTCTATATGTCTCTTGAAAAGTAATCATTTGTCTGTACGGTGCATAACAAAATAAACTATTCTAGCATTAGGAGGCATAATAAATACATTTAAAATCATAATAAAATCTCCACAATAATACTAGTAGTCACTCCGGCCCATGTATTTTTCTGTTACAAATTGACCTGGCCCCCCATTAAAGAAAGAGAAAATTATGTGGCCCTTGCAGAAAAAAAGTTTGGGGACCCCTGCTTTAGATAATAAAGTGTTATTTATTGCTGGCTTTTGAAACAGAAATAACACAGTAACCAACAATACAGCACAAAATAATAATAATAAAGACAAACAAAAGTCCATCTCTCCCATTGGAATTAAAAAAAGGTGACCTCTGCTCTGTAAACATCCATGAAAGTATTTCCCTTTTGAAAATAACAAATGGAAATAGATCGCAGAAGTATTTAATGTTTTCAGTTTGTACATTCTTTACATTTCTTTTGGACCTGAGGTAGAGAATTTGGAAACATGGTGAAAAAAAATATTGTTGGTTTTTACTTATGAATAATACTACAACAGGGATAGTAAATAACAATGTTAATGAAGTAGCCTATTATTAATATACGACTAATATTAACTTTATTTGTCCCACAGGGGAAACTGTTACTAATGATGGAAATAAACTGAAATATTATTGTAATCAACTGTCATCCATACGTAGCCTATTCATTTGAATAATAATTCATATGATTTTACATGTGGCTTGAGAAAATCATGTCTATTATTTTGGTTTGTGAGATCGGAGATCGCGCTGCACACGTGTACAAACATTCAGGAGGACACAAACTTCTTGAGAATGCTGCCTCATGACTTTTATTAATACAATAGATTAAATAGCCTACTGGAGAGATGCACAGATGCAGGTAGGCTAATTCACACAGGCAACTGTCACCTCTCTTTCTCTCTCTCTCTCAAATAATTAATTAAAATAGCTAAATGTTATAATTAATTAATTAAAATAAATGTGATCTTACCGCACTATTTAATCTCTTTCTGATCTGAAGCGGGTAGCTTCATAACGAGCTGTAGCTTCGCGTCAGGTCGTTCTTGCCTTCACGTCATGCATTAAAATCGTTCAATGTACAGCAAGCCATGCATTATCCCTTATGTATTCGCTCTTTAGCAGCAGTTTTTTTTTACAGCAATATTTACCCTGGTCATTCTTGGTGAACCCAAAATGGTCCCACACTATGGAAAAGCATTTCTCTGGTGAAATAAAGCTTGGCTGTTTGGTTCCTCTGTTACAGTTAATCTAATGCATGTAGTAGCCTCCGTGCCTCTGATAAGCACGTAATTTTAAGCTGGTGCACCGCTAGTGTAACTTTTTTCGTTTTTTGTGCAAGCTGCAACAGTTCCGTTCCGTGTAACAGAAACACTCAGTTTAGCGGAACCTTTACGATTAATTAACTGTGACGTTTTAAAGCGCGGTTAATCGCGAAACCGGTTAATCGCTGCATCCCTAGGTGTGACATATCACAGGAAGTTCAACAACATAGTTCATGTCATCCTGAAGAAAGCCAGAACACACTCATTCATTCATTGACTGACATTCATTCATCGACTGACATGAACCAGATATGTAAACTTACTGTAAAGGGCTTTGCACATTGATCTGTTAAATGCAGGCAGTACATTTCAGGTTAGACTTGAATAGGTATTCTGAGTATTCGCATAACAACAATGAAATCTGAGTCTGTTCTTTCAGTGCCATATTTTATTTATTTAAAGTTTGCTACAAGATATTAATTTAATGTTGTATTTACATACCATTTGAAACAATGGTTGCATGGATGTTTCTAGGCTGTTGATCCTGTGAAGTGTCTTGTCAGCAGTGGGTCTTAAATCTTTACCAGCCTTCCATGCTTAATTCATTTGTTGGCCTTTCTGATTGGATTTATAGCTCATGAAAATAAAATGTACAGATGTAGTTCACCCCCCTTTTTTATTGTACATTATTTACTCACCCTTATGTTTTCCCAAACCTTATTACTTCCTGTCTTCTGTGGAACACAAAAGAATATATTGAATAACTGTTTTTGTCCATACAATGAAAGTCACTGGGGTCCAAGACAACATTGATTTGTGTACAATACAGGTTTGGAACAATGTGAGGTTGAGTAAATTACAAACTTTTCATTTTGTGGTGAACTATCACTTTAAAGAAGGGTGCCATTAGTGGCTCCAATATAGAATTTTGAAAGTAATCACCTCAAACAAGTTTCCTGAACCCTCCACAAATCTCTCATTGATTGGACAAACATACAGGTGCATCTCAATAAATTAGAATGTCATGGAAAAGTTAATTTATTTCAGTAATTCAACTCAAATTGTGAAACTTGTGTATTAAATAAATTCAATGCACACAGACTGAAGTAGTTTAAGTCTTTGGTTCTTTTAATTGTGATGATTTTGGGTCACATTTAACAAAAACCCACCAATTCACTATCTCAACAAATTAGAATACTTCATAAGACCAATAAAAAAATCATTTTTAGTGACTTGTTGGCCTTCTGGAAAGTATGTTCATTTACTGTACATGTACTCAATACTTGGTAGGGGCTCCTTTTGCTTTAATTACTGCCTCAATTCGGCGTGGCATGGAGGTGATCAGTTTGTGGCACTGCTTAGGTGGTATGGAAGCCCAGGTTTCTTTGACAGTGGCCTTCAGCTCATCATTTTTTGGTCTCTTGTTTCTCATCGTTTTCCTCTTGACATCTTTGGCAATGAATGTTTGTGACTTACCCTCCTTGTGAAGGGTGTCAATGATTGTCTTCTGGACAACTGTCAGATCAGCAGTCTTCCCCATGATTGTGTAGCCTAGTGAACCAAACTGAGAGACCATTTTGAAGGCTCAGGAAACCTTTGCAGGTGTTTTGAGTTGATTGGCTGATTGGCATGTCACCATATTCTAATTTGTTGAGATAGTGAATTGGTGGGTTTTTGTTAAATGTGAGCCAAAATCATCACAATTAAAAGAACCAAAGACTTAAACTACTTCAGTCTGTGTGCATTGAATTTATTTAATACACGAGTTTCACAATTTGAGTTGAATTACTGAAATAAATGAACTTTTCCACTACATTCTAATTTATTGAGATGCACCTGTATAGTCCCGCCCCAAACTCATACCATTGACACACCATGGTGGTGTGTTACGAGTCAATGTTGCCTGGTTGTACAAGGGGTCAAGATTTGGCTGGTCACAGTTGTACAAAATTTGAAAAGCTATTTTAACAGATACCTTTCTCCAGGTATCAAAGACCTTCTTGGTAAAGACTTAAACAGCACTACATCTACATTAATTTAGATAATTACAGTCCGAATACTACATGCTGTCAGGCCAGAGTCATGTGAGGAATGGCGAGAGTTAACCAATGAATGTGGATTTACCAGTTTGGTCCAGTTTCAGATCCACACATGTTGCAAGGTTTGCCATTGGCTTTCCCTCTTTACGTAATCTGATTGCTCTGCAATGGATATTCAAGATATTTTTAAAGATTAATTAACTAATTAGGCCAATATATATTCAATATCAACCAAATATCAATACATTTAAAACATTTACTGTGGATTGATAGATAGTGAATGAAGTTTCTGCTCTTTACATCCATTTCTGTCTCTCTGAAGTCAGTAGATCAGGGGTTTTCATACTTTTTTGTCCGCCGAACCCCTTGCTTAGACTTAAAACTTAATTAATTTAAATCAAGTTTCCCTTGAGATTTTAAGTTAATATTTCAATAATTTAACAACACATTTGCAAGGTTTTCTGATGTTGGTTATTAGTCACATGACATGTAACTTAAGTAATCTTTTTTGGTAAGTTATTTATTTTGATTGTTCGTATTTATATTGTAAAATCATAGATGGATGGATAGATAGATACATAGATAGATAGATAGATAGATAGAGTGGGTATAGAAAATAATCACCCTCCTTTAAAATAATCACATTGTGTTGCTTTGCAGCCTGAAATGAAGACAGACACAGTTTTTGTTTTATCTAGCTGTTTTTACTCAAATTATAACATCCAAGTGAAAGATATAACACCAACATGTCCGAAAGACATAGGAAAAAGAAAAAAAAAGAATCACCTCTCTCCTAAAAAGGAAGTGGAAGGTATTTAGTACAACACAGACTCTCCCTGGATCAGGATGTCGCTCCAAACTGGATAAAAAAGCCAGGAGGAAACTAGTCAGAGAAGCCACCAAGGGCTTGGTGCAATACTGTCATTTATATTTGTTCTCTGAAGCAGTTGCAGGAATTTGTGTGCATGTGACAACAATATTCAAATATACACAAATTCTCCACAAATGTGGCTTGTATGGAAGGGTTGCAAGAAAAAAGCCACTCCTCAAGAAAGTAGTGATGGGAAGTTCGGATCATTTTACTGACTCGGACCTTTGAGTCTCATTCAGCAAAATGAACAAATCTTTTTTTGAGTCATTTCGTTCATTTCGTTCATTTTAGCAAAATATAATTAAAATGTTACGTGTTACTTCCCTAACACGTCTACTACTTACGCAAACTTTGATCACACTATAAACAATACAAAACTGCTATAACAAACAGAAAAGATTAATTCATTGTTTACCTGGGTTTTCAGTCTATGATTAGCTCACCTCACCTCTTATCTGACAAGTCTTCAAGGTTTGAGTCGTTCGTTCATCATGTGACAGACCCATAAACTTAACCAATGCAGTCTGAGCCGAACGACTCAAAAAACCCGAAGACTCGAGAGATGAACTAATCAATTCTCTTTCTGGCTCAGACTGCATTGGTTAAACTTATGGGGCTGTCACGTGATGAACGAACGACTCAAACCCGAAGACTATTGAGATGAACTAATCGATTCTCTTTCCGGCTCAGACTGCATTGGTTAAACTTATGGGGCTGTCACGTGATGAACGAACGACTCAAACTCGAAGACTATTGAGATGAACTAATCAATTCTCTTTCCGGCTCAGACTGCATTGGTTAAACTTATGGGGATATCTACCACATGATGAACGAATGACTCGAAAAACCCGAAGACTCGAAACAGGTGAACTACTTGACTAATTCCAGTACAAGAACCTATAGGATGTTGCGAATGCGTGACTGAACAAATCACTCCCCGAGATGACTCGTTCTTTCTGAGTCACATTAAAGATTCGTTCAAAATGAACGAATCATTCAAGAACGACCCAACACTACAAGAAAGGCCACATGCAGTCACGACTGAGCTTTGCCAAAACACACCTTGAAGATTCTGAGGCAGATGAGACAAAGTTAGAGACCTATCCCTACAGACTAAAGTCTGTAATTGAAGCAGAAGGTGGTTCAACGAAATACTGAAACAAGGGTGTGATCCTTTTTCCAACTCAGTATTTGTGTTTTTAAATTTTTTTTGACATGTTGGTGTTATATCTTTCACTTGGATGTTATAAGTTGTGTAAATACAGCTGGATAAAACAAAAACTGTGTCCGTCTTCACTTGAGGCTGCTAAGCAACAAAATTTGATTATTTGAAAGGTGATTCTTTTCTATACCGACTGTAGATAGATAGATAGATAGATAGATACAGGGCTGCATGACATATCCAAAAAAGTATGTCTGAAAACACGGTATTATAATCTGCAAGTGTGTAAATAAACACAGTCTGGCTTGTAACGCTTAAACATGTAGCACAACTTCTTTATACAGCCTTTAATTTGATACATGTGATTGAATAAGATTTTTTGGTTTTATTTCAAGTAATTGTGCAGCCCCATTTGTTATTTTAATATTACATTTGATTTAATTAAGATTCAATTTAATTATGAATTAAGAGTTCATCAACTCACAAACACCCCTTTTTGAGGAATGTGCAAATGAGCTAAAACATACTAACGACATGCTATTAGCATACTAAAATGGGCTAGCAACATGCTAGCTGTAAACAAATGGTGCTGCATCCCAATTCCCCTTATGCCCTAATAGTAGTATATACTAGGGCTGTGTATCACCAGCAAAGTCACGATACGATACGTATCACGATACATGACTGCACTGAATTTCACCTCAGCAGAATTTAGAAAAACAGCTGTTTATTAAACACTGCTTACTATAGTGCCATTTCTAACTATTGGCAGAGCAGGCAGTTGACCTCTGCATTATGAAGGGCCTCCATAACTGTACCACAGTACAATATAGGTAATGGTATATGTTTCATGTTTACATTGTGCACTCCCCACCAGGTACAATATTCTGATTGTTTGCATCTTGTTTTTAAGCGCATACATAATAATGTACTTGTTCTAATACATTTATATCGTAATGTACTCATTCTAATACGTTTAAAAAATCATTTACATTGCTGGTAGGTTATCATTGCACAAATTAACACACTCTCTACAATAAAAAAAAACTAATTAGAAGAGTTAAACTAACGCGCTGTCTTCACTGTATCTAACGCACACACACTGTTTACATTGTGCACTCCCAACCAGATACAATATTCTGATTGTTTGCATCTTGTTTTTAAGCGCATACATAATAATGTACTTGTTCTAATACATTTATATTGTAATGTACTCATTCTAATATGTTTAAAAAATAATTTACATTGCTGGTAGGTTATCATTGCACAAATTAACACACTCTCTACAATAAAAAAAACTAATTAGAAGAGTTCTAAACTAACGCGCTGTCTTCACTGTATCTTAACGCACACACACTCAAGGTTGACAAGGTTGATTTATACTCGACGTGTCCGCAAGTTCGCTTTGAGTGCCGTCATCACGGTGTTGGCGGAAGTTTCGCGTGCGTGGCGGTGTGCACAACATTTTTTGTAACTTTCCGCGCAGCTCCGCTTCCGAAGATGGATGAGTTCCAAGCGACTCTAGCCGAACATGCACGTCTGTGCCAGCATTTGTGTGAAACAAGCAGTTTGATGTTAAATGCAGTCACAACTCGAACAGCCGAACTCAGACATTCAGGAACAAACTTTTTAGCGCTGCCCCGCAGTTTTATCAACTAAATAGCTTAATCGCTCAAGAGCTACATTATCTTTCGCAACAAGGAGCTGGTAGCATCATTGTTTCTAAAGGAATTAAAGCCACAGCTTTACTGTTAATAGAGAAACGCGGCAAAACGGTGGTAATTCATACATACACAGCCTCTCTCTCTCTCTATCTGTGTCGTAAATGAACAGTTGATGAATTACACTTTTCTGAGAATAGAATATGGAAGTGGAGATCGCTAAACTACAAGCTAAGCGGTGTTTTCAGAAAGCAATCGCGTTTATCCACACTGGAGAGAGCGCGTGCACATGGTTGCCAGGTTGACAAAGATAAGTAGCACACTTAGCAGATATTTCCGTATTGCGCAAGTGTGAAGCTCTGTTTCGGGGATTACGTGTCTTTATATCAGGCAACCCAGTTGTGTTCCTCTGCGGCCAGATTAAACCTTGTTGTAGCCTATATATGCTCTATTCATTCTTTTTTAGAAACCTCGCACCTTTTTACTCAATTTTAAACATTGTAAAATTTTAAACAAATTAAGCGTGGTCCACTGCTGCACACGTGCCACAATATCGATACAGGGCCAGCTGTATCGATACTCGTATCGTCAAATCTCTGTGACGATACATCGTCGTATCGATATTTTGAACACAGCACTAGTATATACTAGATCTAATTGAATAGGCAAGCTTTGGGACATACAAATTCATCTTAATTACATCTTTAACGGACAACTCTGTTGCTTAGTCGCCTGCATCCTATCACCATTTAAACTGTTCTGTCAGTCATCTTGTCATAGATGACGTCATCCACATTTTGTTTAATTTCATACTGTATTGGACAGAAATGAAGAGGCACATTGATCTGCCAGTCGCTGGTCTTTCATGCTAAAAACTTTCCTCATGTGTTTGCATAATGATGCATTTGAAAATTAATAACCAAACATATCTTTATAAAAGTTCACAGTGTTGTTGCAGATGAAATATACTGCAGATAACATTACATATTTTTTCATTAGATTAGATGTTGATTATTACTCAAACCCATTTCTCTGCCTCACATATCCGCCATGTTTGACGTTTTTGAAATGAGGACACCAGCTTTTTATTTGTGTTTGTAGTAGGGGTCGACCGATATGTGTTTTTCATGCCGATACCGATTATTACAGATCAAGTAGATTGATAACCGATATTTTGAACCGATATATATGTCTGGTGAAAATTAAATGTAAAAATTAAGAATAACAAGGGCTCTGACAAACACTGCCTTCCCTGGTGTTGGTTGAGTGTAGTACTCCCACAGTAAACTCTTTATTTTAAAGAGTTAAACTCTTTATTTTTTGGCAAACAAAGGGTTTACCATTAAAATTAAAACATGGAAGAAATAGCGTATTGTGTGATTATTCTTTTAAACAAAAGTTGTAATAATTGTTGTAGTAGTCGGGTTAAAGCAAAAAAAAATATTTTGACTGAAAATGTTTCTTCGACCAAACCCCATTCCACAGCCATACCTGTCACACACCCAGTTTAAGAGCAGTGCTTTTCTTCTTGTAATCAGGAGCGCTTGTCCTCCTAATTAAAAAAATTAAGGAGCACCTTCTGATCAATAATCAAAAATTCTGATCAAACATTAGCCTTCCTAATATGAGGTGAAGTGATTTACAGGGTGATTAAGTGATTTTCTTTTTACCTTTGCAATGGCATCATTTTCATCTGTCAAATTCAAAAATATATGTTTATAAGCTTTTTAAAATTTCTATTTAAAACAATATAATAAGAAGTAGAATAAGACAAATAAATGACCAATCATGAAATTAGTATTAATGAATTAAAGGGGTCATATGATGCTTTTTTAAAGATCATTATTTTGTGTATTTGGTGTAACAGAATATGCTGACATGCTTTAATGTTCAAAAACACATTATTTTTCAAATACTGTACATTGTTGTAGGTCCTCTATGCCCGCCTCTCTCAAACGCTTAGTTTTCTACAAAGTCCCTCCTTCCGACAAGTGCAGTCTGCTCTGATTGGCCAGCTGACCCAGTGCATTGTGATTGGCCGAACACCAGAAGCACTCGTCGGAAATGTAATGCCCCTTACCATAATCGCGAGCTTCGTCTTTCAAAATAAATGTAAAGACAGAGCCCGAAAGGGGAACAGAGTCGCGTGACATACACAGTGATGAAGCTGGTATGTGTTTGTGATGTGACCCTCTCCCTCTCTCTCTCTCTCTCTGTCTCTCTCTCTCTCTCTCTCTCTCGCGCTCTCTCTCTCTCTCTGCGCGTGCGTGAGTGGTGTGAGCATGGTGAGGTGTGAGCGTGGCGAGTGCTGTTCGAGAGTGTGGTGTAGCGTGTGAGTTTTCCAAACATTTCTTTACTGTATCTTTCTCCTTTCTTTTTGTTAGTGGTTTTTAGTTTTTTCTTTCTGTCTTGGAGGCGGCTATGTCTGCGGGAGAGCAGTTTAGTTTTCAGAGGTTAATGCGCCGGCATGCTATTAAATTGTCTCCTCCTGAAGGAGCTTCTATAGAAGATTGCAGTCTCGCGGTAGGTGAGATTGTTGGCTTTGAAAGCATTAAGTCGGCTTCCAGGATGAATAGTGCAGTTGTAATTTTTTTGGATGAGGTGGATAAAGTAAACCGTTTGCTTGAGAGTGGGATTACCATTAATGACACATACACACCTGTTCTGTCTCTGATAAGCCCTATAAAAAAGGTCATTATTTCGAATGCACCCCCGTTTTTGAAGAATGAGCTTTTGGAAAAAGAGCTAGGGAGATATGGAAAATTAGTGTCACCGATAAAAATGATTCCTATCAGTTGCAAATCTCCTCAGCTTAAACACTTGGTGTCTTTTAGGAGACAAGTTAATATGATTCTTAAGAAAAACGATAAAGAGTTGAACTTGGTTTTCAAGTTCAAGGTTGAGGATTTTGACTATACTGTACATGTAACTACAGAACTGATGAAGTGTTTTGGGTGCGGAGCGGTGGGGCACGCGATTCGCTCGTGTCCGAATGAAAGAGGCGTGGGCCGGTCGGCTGCCGATGCGGTGGAAACGCCGCCCGCTAAGTCTAATGGCGGAGCCGCTGCACCGGTTGAGCCGTGAGAGATTATTATGCAGGTCTCACAGGCAGAGGATCGAGCTGATAGTGGTTCGGGAGATGAGGTGGTGGAGGATTCAGAGAATAAACAGAGTGATCAAAATGTGCAAAATATCTCAGAAGGAGATTCAAATGTTGGTCACATAGCAACTAGAGTAGTGGAGTCAGTGTTGTTCAATGAGGAAAATGTTTTGATGAACAAGAGGAAGAGCCCAGAAAACAA